CATTAATTTGCATAGTACAACATAGTACTGAGAACCTAAAAGGAGTAAGTGAACAGTGACCCCCATTGTTGATTTAACAATTGACACTCTTATTTATGACGTCAGTAATCACCTGAGGCTCTTGTCACGAGCTGCCAAGGTTATGGAAGTCTCTTGAGTTCACCAACTCCGACCTTATTTAGACAAGGCCATAATCAAAGTGGAAGTACTCTCCTCCCTTCAGAGAAAGGTATTTTTTTGCTACAGTGTCTTGGCTTTCCATGCCTGAGAAACTCTCATGGGCTTTTTAGCCATATCCAAATGCCTTAACGGCTGATTCTGAAGCCAGAGTGCTGTTTAGGGCATCTGCCATTCTATGTGACTGCTGTGTATCCTGCTTCCCATGTTGGATCATTCTCTCCTTTTTAATTCTATCAGTTAGTATTAGCAGACACTAGTCTTGTTTGTGTGATCCCTTTGACACTTAATCCCATCATTATGATCAATTATGAACTTAAACTGATCTTTGACTAGTAAGATGGCATTGGTACATGCCACCTTAATGGGATTTATTGGAATACCCTGGAACATTTCTAGTTCTAACATTAGAGGTAAGTCTGAATGAGCATGTGCCAAACTGTACATCTCCTCCCTCTCTTATTCCCACTCTTATATTTAGCAGGGATCACTTTTCAGTTAAATTTAAACACAAAAGAATAATTGTGTGTTAAAGAGTTCAACCACTGGTATTAAACAGAACAAAAAAACACCAACAGGAATAAAATAGTAAGATATTCCTCAACAGTCAGGACAAGGGCTAATAAAGTCATTGTTTCTCATAGTGTCCATTTCACTTCTACAGGTTTCCTTTTAGGTGCTCAGTTAGTTGTCAAAATCAGGGAGAACATATGATATTTGTCCATTTGGGACTGGCTTATTTCACTCAGCATGATGTTTTCCAGATTCCTCCATTTTGTTGCAAATGACTGGATTTCAATTTTTTTACTGCTGTATAGTATTCTATAGAGTACATATCCCATAATTTCTTTATCCAGTCTACTGTTGATGGGCATGTAGGTTGATTCCATCTCTTAGCTATTGTGAATTGAGCTGCAATAAACATTGAGGTGCAGACAGCTCTTTTGTTTGCCAATTTAATTTCCTTTGGGTAAATTCCAAAGAGTGTGATGGCTGGGTTGTATGGTAGGGCTATATTCAAGTTTCTGAATAATCTCCAAACTGTCTACCATAGTGGATTTACCAATTTGCATTCCCACCAACAATGGATTAGTGTGTCTTTTTCCTCACCTCCTCACCAAAATCTGTTGTTAGTTGATTTCTGTATGTAAGCAATTCTAACCAGGGTGAGATGAAACCTCATTGTGGTTTTGATTTGCATGTCCCTGTTGGCAGGTGATCTTGAACACTTTTTCATGTGTCTGTTGGCTGTTTGGTTTTCATCTTTTGAAAAATGTCTATTGAGGTCCTTAGCGCATCTCTTAAGTGGGGCGTTTGTTCAGTTATTGTGCAATTTCTTGATTTCTTTGTAGATTCTGCTTATTAATCCTTTATCTGTTGCATAGTTTGAAAATATTTTTTCCAATTCTGTTGGTCCCCTCTTCACTTTCCTGACTGTTTCTTTTGCAGTACAGAAACTTCTCAATTTGATGTAATCCCGATTGTTAATTCTGTCTTTGACTGCCTGTGCCTCTGGGGTCTTTTCCAAAAAGTCTCTGCATGTGCTTATACGTTGCAGGGTTTCTCCGATATTCTCTAATAATTTGATGGTGTCAGGTCATAGGTTTAGATTTTTGTGGAAGGTATAAGGTAGGGGTCTTGCTTCATGCTTCTGCATGTGGAAATCCAGTTTTCCCAGTACCATTTGTTGAATAGACTGTCCTTGCTCCAGGAATTGCTTTTAGATCCTTGATCAAATATAAGTTGGCTGTAGATGTTTTGATTGATTTCTGGTGTTTCAATTCTGTTCCATTGGTCTATCCATCTGTTTCTGTACCAGTACCATGCTGTTTTGATTGTACCTGCCCTGTAGTATGTCCTGAAATCTGTTAATGGGATCCCTCTGACTTTGATTTTGAGGTACAAGATTGCCTTAGGTATTCAAGGTCTCCTGTGCTCCATGTGAATTTCAGCATCATTTTCCCAATCTGAGAAGAATGTCTTTGTTATTTTGATTGGTATAACATTGAATCTATAAATTGCTTTTAGGAGAATGGACATTTTGATGATATTGATTCTTCCAATCCATGAGCATCGAAGATTTTTCCATTTTGGTATCCTCTTCTATTTCTTTCCTAAGATATTGTAATTCTCATTGTAGAGAACTTTGACATTCTTGGTTAAGTTTATACCAAGATATTTGATTGTTTTTGTAGCTATTGTGAATGGAATTGATCTTAGAAGTTCTTTCTCAGCCATGGCATTGCCTGTGTATACAAAGACTGTTGATTTTTGTGCGTTGATTTTATATCCTGCTACTTTGCCAAACTCTTCTATGAGTTCCAATAGTCTTTTTTTTTTTTTTTGACAGGCAGAGTGGACAGTGAGAGAGAGAGACAGAGAGAAAGGTCTTCCTTTGCCGTTGGTTCACCCTCCAATGGCCGCCGCGGCCAGCGCGCTGCGGCCGGCGCACCACGCTGATCCGATGGCAGGAGCCAGGAGCCAGGTGCTTTTCCTGGTCTCCCATGGGGTGCAGGGCCCAAGCACCTGGGCCATCCTCCACTGCACTCCCTGGCCACAGCAGAGGGCTGGCCTGGAAGAGGGGCAACCGGGACAGAATCCGGCGCCCCGACTGGGACTAGAACCCGGTGTGCCGGTGCCGCTAGGCGGAGGATTAGCCTAGTGAGCCGCGGCGCCGGCCTCCAATAGTCTTTTAGTAGAGTTCTTTGGATCCCCTAAATAAAGAATCATATCACCTGCAAAGAGGGATAGTTTGAGTTCTTCCTTCCCAATTTGTATCCCTTTAATTTCTTTTTCTTGTCTAAGGGCTCTGGCTAAAACTTCCAGTACTATATTGAATAGCAGTGGTGAGTGTGGGCATCCCTGTCTGGTACTAGATCTCAGTGTAAATGTTTCCAACTTTTCCCTATTCAACATGATGCTGGCCATGGGTTTTTCATAAATTGCCTTGATTGTGTTGAGGAATGTTTTTTTCTATAACCAATTTGCTTAGAGTTTTCATCATGAAACGGTGTTGTATTTTATCAAATGCTTTCTCTGCATCTCCTGAGATAATCATATGCTTTTTCTTCTGCAGTTTGTTAATGTGGTATACCATGTTGATTGATTTGCGAATGTTGATCCATCCATGCAAACCATGGGTAAATCCCAGTTGGTCTGGGTGGATGATCTTTCTGTTATTGCATTCTATTGCCCAGAATTTTATTGAGGATTTTTGCATTCATGTTCATTGTTCTGTAATTCACTTTATCTGCTGCATCCTTTCCAGGTTTAAGAATTAAGGTGATGCTGGCTGCATAAAAAGAATTTGGGAGGATTCCCTCTCTTTCAATTGTTTTGAATAGTTTGAGAAGAATTGGAATTAGTTCATTAAATGTCTGGTAGAATTCAGCAGTGAATCCATCCAGTCCTGGGCTTTTCTTTGCTGGGAGGACCTTTATTACTGATTCAATTTCTGACTCGGTTATGGGTCTGTTTAGGTTTTTTATGTTTTCATGTTTCAATTTAGGAAGGTTGCTTGTGTCCAGAAGTTTATCCATTTCTGATAGATTTCCCTGTTTGCTGGTATACAACTCTTTGTAGTAATTTTGATGACTCTTTTTATTTATGGTGTCTGTTGTTACATTCCTTTTTTCATCTCTTATTTTATTGATTTGGGTCTTTTCTCTCCTTTTTTTTAGTTAGTTTGGCCAATGGTGTGTCAATTTTGTTTTTGTTTTTTCAAAAAATCAGCTCTTCATTTTGCTGATCTTTTGTAATTTTTTTTATTCAATTCTGTTGATTTCTTTAATTTTAATTATTTCTTTTCTCCTACTAGTTTTGCGTTTGGTTTGTTGTAGTTTTTCTAGATCCTTGAGATGCATTGATAGCTCATTTATTTGGTGCCTTTCCAATTTCTTGATGTAGGCACCTATTGCTATAAACTTTACTGTAACTCTCCTTTTGCTGTATCCCATAAGTTTTGATATGTTGTGTTGTTATACTCATTTACTTCCAGAAAGTTTTTGATTTCTCTTTTGATTTATTCTAAGACTCACTGTTCATTCAGGAGTATGTTGTTTAGTCTCCACGTGTTTGCATATGCTCTAGGGATTTCTGAGTTGCTAATTTCCAGCTTCATTACATTGTGGTCTGAAAAGATTCATGGTATGATTTTGATTCTTTTGAATTTGCTGAGACTTGATTTATGGCCTAATATGTGGTCAATCCTAGAGAAAGTTCCATGCACTGCTGAGAAGAATATGTATTCTTTAGGTGTAGAATGAAGAGTTCTGTAGATATTTGTTAGACCCATTTTGACTATAGTGTCGATCAAATCTGCTGTTTCCTTGTTGATCTTCTGTCTGGTTGATCTTTCCATTGCTGAAAGTGGAGCAATGAAGTCCCCAATACTATTGTATTGGAGTCTAAGTCTCCCTTTAAGTTCCTTAACATATATTTTAAATAGCTCAGTGCCCTGTAATTAGGTGCATATACGTTTATAATAGTTACATCTTCCTATTGAATTGATCCCTTAATCATTATACAGTGCCCCTCTTTGTCTCTCTTAACAGTTTTTGTGTTAAAGTTTATTTTGTCTGATATTAAGAAGGCTACATCAGCTCTTTTTTGGTCTGTTGGCATGGAATATCTTGTTCCAACCTTTCACTTTCAGTCTGCATGCATCTTTGTTGGAAAGATGTGTTTCTTGTAAGCAACAAGTAGATGGGTTTTGTTTTTTAATCCAGTCAGCCAATCTATGTTTTTAACTGGAGAGTTGAGGCCATTTACATTCAATGTGACTATTGATAAGTAGTAACTTTGCCCTGCCATTTTTCCAAGTTATTTTTTTTTTTCAAATTAATGGTTTTATTTCCACCTTTAACACTAGCAGAGGAGTCCAAGACAAACTGATGTTCGTGGATACAGTTTAAATGCAACAAAGAGCGAGCAGAACTATGTACAATGAAGATGAGAAAAGGGTTTTCTCACACCAGCCTTTTCCTGGTTTGCAGTTTCGGAAGAAACGAAACACATTTTCCCCCAACTGAATTTAGGAAGAAGTAACACAACTTTTATGACCAACCACTTAAGTTGTAAGGATAAAACTTAAATTCTGAAATGGGTGTCACTGTATCAATTCATCAGCTGGCTGTATGGTTACCTTGACTCCTAGTATATCATTCCAACACAACAAAGAAGCATTTCCATGAAGCCCAGAGGGAGCTTAATGGCAGCGGCACCCAACCAGAGTGCCAACGAGCTACATGTCAAAATAACGGGTGCTGTGATCCCATGCTCTTTGACTCCAAGTAGAAAATTATTACTTTCATTCACACTAACTGCCAAGTGAGCCAAAAAGTTAAAAAGTCAGAAGTAAGAATAAAACTATTTTCTTCACACACAGGAGGGACACTCCATCAGCCCCATAAAGTGAGTTCTGTGCTGAGTCCCTGCTCCTTCAGAGCGGTGATCTGAAGGCCGGTTATTGCTATCAAAGCCAGAATGGCCCCTCTCTCATGAAGACGTTTCACACGAAAAGGCTGTGGGTCTGGCTTGAAGCCCTCTGAGGAAGGGGAGGTATACAGGTGGAGGCAGGCTGGCACTGCCAGGCCTCTCCCCTACCACTACCCCCACGCCCTGTGCTGTCGGGCTGCTCAGGCCACGCTACTGCCCTCTGAGAGAACCTGAGGTCCCCACGTGCCTGTGCACTGGAGCAGAGGTTGTTACCTGGGTGCCTCGGGATGGATAAGTCACCGTGGTTTGCCACCCAAAGCCTGTGTAGCAGTCAGAAGCCCAAGGACCAAAGCCCGTTTGGCCAGAAGAGCAGCTTCTGATAAAAACACCAGCTGGTGGGGGTTGATGGGCAAGCCAAGCCAGTGCCAAGTCAGGTGGGCCACGTTCCTTGAAACAGGGAGTGACAGTGCCTTGGACAGAAGGATGGAAGTGAGCGACTGGCTGATTAAGGCCACAACACTGCCACCACCTCCCAGGGTCTACTGAACTTGGGCAGACACAGGCAGCTGGAAGCAAGGACTGGAGGACACGTGGTGGCAAACACAGGACAGATTTTACCAGAAGAGAGGGCACCCAAACATGTGCCTGCCCTATTTACCTCCTAGTCCTGTGCCAGGTGACAAACTTTGAAGCATGGGTAAGGTTCCTGAGAACAGTTGGTGAGCAGAGATAAGGTGGATGGGCACTGCTCCTCAGGAGACATCAGGCCTCTGGGGAGGACACTAACAGTGCTACATATCCTGGGCTGCTGACAAGTAGGTAAAGAACGGGCTTTATTGCACTTTTTCGTTCTTAGAAAACAGGGGGTTTGCCCTGCAGAGGTTCTCCTGATTTGCAGAAAACACTGCACATCTGAATAAGGTGCAGGCAGAATCACAGGGTGATCTCCAACTCTCAAGCAAAGAAAGAAGTCCAGGGGTTGGTCTTTCATGCCTCAGAGACCGCTCTTGCACCTGGGATCCTCGGGCTGGGTGGACTGTGTCTGGCTTGTCACTGTGTGGCAGGTAGGCTGGTCCACCTACAGGCAGATGCCAGAAAGAAATGCAGTGTGCCCCAGCTCTTGGGCACACTACCCAAACAGGGAAATTTTCTTGGCAAATGTGGAGGTCCCAGAAACAGGCTATAGCCACAACTCTCAATTCCAATAGGTCTGACTCCCTTTCTCCTACTCTGGAACCAGACTACCCCAGAGAAGAGACATAGAGTGTGGCCAAGAAGGGCCCCTGGGCCCAGTTCCAGAGCGTCAAACTGGAGATAACAGGATCTAGGAGGGGTCTGGAAACGAAAGAGCAGTTTACATATCACATGTCGGTTCTCAAGCAGTCCTCCCGAGCTCAGGAAGTTGGAGGCAGATACCACACGGAGAACCAGCTAGGCTCTCTCTCTGTCCATTCGTCTCTCCTGAGCAGCTCTGAGCACTTCATATATAAATGGGGTGGTAGCGTTTGTGGTTGATCTTTTTCCTACAAGTTGGGCAAGTGTTAGCATTCTTAAGGGAATCATGGAGGCACTGGCTACAGAAGACATGGCCACATTCTGTAGAAACAATGAGACGTCCATTCTGCACAATCTCAGAGTATCCGTCCATGCAGATGGGACAGCTCACAGTGCCAGAGGGCCTGAACCCTGCAGCTCCTTCCACCCTGGCATTTCTGGAAGTGTGGGTGGTCACATACACGTCTCTGTCCCTGGACAGCTCCTCCTCGTCACTGCTCATCACGCAGCTGTCAGCATGGTTTTGGCGCAGCCTCCGTGCATTCCTCCTTTGCCTCCTCCTTTCATCAATGATCACCATGGAGTCATTGTGAGTCAGGTCAACCACCACGGGCTCTAAAGATTCACAGGTGAGGTTCACGATCTCATCTCCAGCAGTTTCCACAAGCTCTATGGGTTCTGCTTCCAAGGAGATCTTGCGGGTAGAAGCTGCTTCCCGAGTTCGCTTCTGGGCTTGTCTAGAATTTACTGTCCCACCACGATGCTTTCTAGTACTCATTGTGCTCAGAAAGGGACTGTGTCTGTGTAGAGGTGTGCCAGGAAGGTGGGTGTTAAACCACTTACGCCACCTGCATACACATCCTCGGGTTTGCAGAAGAATTTGGATCCGGGCAGCCTTCCAGTATCAAGTCTCGGAGCTGCTCCGGTCTGGGAGGCACTGCTGCCACTGTACTGGAGCGAGGAAGCACCTTTAAGCCGCTGAGGGGAAGCCCCTGAGCCAGGCGCCACCGCCTCCACAGCAATCCACTTCCACTCCCGAGGCCTAGGCCCCTCCAAGTTATTTTTAATATATGCTATGAACTTCCTGTGGTTTTTTACTGAGAGATTTTCTTCCTTTATCTTCTTTCATATTGATGGCTGTGTTTCTGTGTTTCCGTGTATAACACATCTTTAAGCATCTTTTGCAGGGCTGGATGAGTGGTGACAAATTCTTTCAATTTCTGTTTGCTATGAAAGGTCTTCATTTCACTTTCATTCCTTGTGGATCCCAAAGCTACCATACCGACCTTTTGATGATAGGAAAGGGGGCGACGATGAGTCTCTCTGGCTACTTCGTGCTGACTGGGGACGTTGTCTACAGGGGCCTGCTGGGGGTATCTTGGGGCTCCGCAAGGAGGGAAGGCCTACACTTCTGGGAATGGAGAGGCCTACTTCTGGGGAAGAAAGTCCTTGTCAAGGTCCCCGCGGGTGCCTAAATGTCAACCAGTGAGGATCAGACCCACCTCAACCTTTAACCCCCATGCCCTGGATCTATAAAAGGAGCTATCCCAATCTCTGACTTCCCCAGCCCCCGCTCTGTTGCTCTGTTGGGACCGGGGAACCTCGCCCGGGAGCGGAACCCCAATAAAAGCCTGTGAATTAATTGATTCGTCTGCCTGGGAAGATCTGTTACGCGCCAGACACCTTACATTCCCACCGAGCCTACTCACATCTCAGCCATACTGTGTGTTCTACTACACACACTGTTTTTTTTTTTTTTTTCCCACAGTCCCAGTTCATAAACTCCACACATTCACTAGGTCTCAGTCTCCCATTATTACTCCCCACCAGAGTCAGGTTTTTCTGCTTGGTTGATTGCCAACCACAGCCCAAGCTGGCACAGCTGTTATGTATATCCAAAATGGCTCCTGCTCTGTTGGCTTGCATGCCTTTGTAAGGTGACTGCAGAAAGAGAACCCTGTCCGTACCTTCCCTTTTATTTTTTCTCTCCTCTAGTTAGGCTGGTGTACTTTCCCCCAAGGGCTTCAAGCCTCGTTCCCTCTAGGTTCTTCCTGCCACTTTTCCGCCAGTGTCTGGGCTACTGCAGTTTTGTCTCACCTCATTCCAGCCCTGGTGCAGAACTTCTTGGCAGCTGGGGTCCCGAGCCGTGGGCCCCCGTGCCCTCCACATAGATCCACCATGTCCCTCTAATTACAGAAGAGTTTCCTCTGATGTTTTTTCCCTAACTCTTCCCTAAGACTACACTATTTCCACTTTTATTAAACTATCTTCTCCTGGACTATCAGTAAACTCCCTCCCTATTCCACCATCTTGGATGAAAAGCCAGGTTCATTTGATTCTAAAGCCAGAGCTCTAAATAATAAACCATACTGTGTCCCTTACACACATATGCATGTACATATGCATGTTAGTTCTGGAAAACATGAGTCAATCAATTAAGTAGAACAGTTCTATCCTCCCATTTGAAATCATGTTCCAAGTTAAAAGACAATACTAAAAAGATCCATGTGTTCTATTTAACTATGAACAAAAATTGACTTATTTTTTAAACTATAAAGTGTCTTGGTGGATTCCAAAGTACAAAGCAGGAATTCTAAATGGTGCATAGAGCTCATACTCATAAAGAACTCTTCTCTTCCCCAACGTACCTAGGAGTTATGGAATAATTGGTCTGTACCATAGTTTTATGGTACTGCTTTCTAGAGCAATGACCAAGCTACTAAGTGCTGTTAGACAGGGGGCTTAAAACTGCTTGCCGGCAGGAGGAAGTGTTATACTTCGACAGTCAAATTCTCTTACCCAGGTTCCCCAAAGCTAATGACCATTCCTTATGAGCTATTAATAAGACACAGATTCAGTTCAGTTTCCAGTCAATATCAAGGTTATATCCAGGTGCATATTTAATGTTATGCCTAGGGTCAGGGATAGAACAAAGATAAAGTTCAACCTGGAGCCAGGTTTAATGTTTAGTTTATCTATGGAAAGAATTTGTCACTACACAATTAGAGAATAATCCAATAAATAATTCAAAATATTTTATAATTTGCAACATCAAATAAGCATTTTTAAAGCTGATGCAATAATATCCTAATCATAGTCACACTTTAATATTCACATATTATTCTTTTATGTTTAGTTGACACACTTTTCATCACTAATTCAAAGCACAGGTGGAGATTTTATAAATTTCAAATTACTAGAATATACATTCATGGAGCTTCACCTAATAGCAATTTTAGAAGCCAAAGAATTCAAATAGATCAATTTTAAATGGAAAAAGTAGGAGTATCTTGTCAATTGCAAAGAGCAGATAAAATATTTCATTATTAAAGACTGCTATCTCCAATGAATTTCAGAGAACACTAAGATCTCCCCTTTGTTTAAAGATAATCACGTTTTTCTCAGAGTGGTTCACTAGGGCTTTACCTTGGGCATGAATATTTCATGACTGATTGATTGAAAAGACAATGCCAACAGAGAATAATACAAGTGTAGGGACCTGTCTTACAAGGTAAAGTTAAATTACTCCAAGGGTTAGAATGACAATGCCAGGTAGGACCTTCAACTCAGCAAGTAAATTGACAATTACAAATCTGTTGAAAAATGAGAAAAATCAATCAGGAAAAGGCATTAAAAAGTAGTGTTTACCTTGGTGAACACCATTAGGTGGATTTTGGAAGGATGCTATAGGAAAATACCTATCTTTGGTTGGATGTGAGAGGGGTTGAAGTGTGGGGAGCAATCCGGACTAGACTGTTACTCGAATTAAGACTTATTCTATGCATCTGCTCTCCCACAATATGGCGCTGGGAGAGAAGTAAACAGCTTCCGCACAGCTGCCTCCAGTTCAACCAATTAACTGTAGGACTTGCTCCTGATTGGAGAGCAGCGTACTCAGCCGAGTTGGGATTGGCGGAAGAGGACTATAAAGGAGGAGAGAGACGGCACGCACCAGGAACATCTATGGGGAACATCTAAGGGAACCCGTGCAGCCCCCGAGAGAACCGGCCGGCGGTGTGCCGCTCCCCTGCGGAAGTGGGGAATGCGGCCAGGGGGAACTGCCCTTCCACGGAGGTGGAAGGGATAGTAGCCAACCCGGGAAGAACCAGCAGCAAACCCGGGGAGGGCCGAGCAGACGAAGGAACAGCGCAGGGTCCTGTGTCGTTCCTCCACGAAGAGGGGGAGCGACATAATGGTGCCGTGACTCGGATAGCAAACTTAGGAGGGAAGAAACGGGAAGAATTGGGAAAATATCGGAGAGAGAGACTAGCAAACAGCCTAGGGAAAATACCGGAGAGAGAGACTAGCAAACAGCCTAGGGAAAAGCCGGACGAAAAGGGTGCCGGAAGAAGCTGTTGAAAGCCTAGGCATAGACTCGTATACGGACTACGGGGGGAAGCTGGGAGAAATCTCTAAGGTCGAAAGCGAAAGTGAAAGCTAGAACAAACAGACTCGGACGTGGACTGTGGGGAGAGGCCAGGAGAAATGAGGGAGGAATATCGTTGGAGGAAAGCTTGGGGAAACATACCGGGTAGAGAAAACTGTTAGGGAAATTGAAGCCGCGGGGGGCAGGCCGAGGCTGAAACGAAAGCCACTTTGGGGTTCTCAAGTTAGCCCGGGAATAGGGGGCGAAAAGTTGAAACCAGAAGCTGAGACGTAAGCCAGATTGGGATCCGTCTGATTAGCCCGGGGAGCAAAGGACGGGAAGCCAAATCGTGGGGCGGAGACGTACGCTGGGTTGAATTCGCCAGGCTAGCCCGGGGAACTTAGATTGAATCCTAGTGGCGGAGACGCAAGCTACGCTGTGTTACTCGCGGAAGCCGCCGCGTGCAGAGAGAGCACGGGGCGTGAATAGATAGGGAACGCTGGCGTAGGCCGTGGTTCAGACGCGAAAGGGTTAAGCGTGGAGACCGCGGAGCGCGCAAAGCCGAGCCGCGCAAAGCCGGGAAGCTGCGCAGATGAGAGAGGCGCGCGGGCTGAAGCGGCGCAGAGCCGGGAACCCGCCGGCGGGGCGAGGTGCCGGAAAGCTGCGGGGATAAGAGAAACAGAAGTTTAGAAGTAAAAGAGAAATAGGAATGTTGGCAGACAGAAGTAAAATGGGAGAAATAGAAATGCCCGGAGATAGAGAAATAGAGAAAAATAAGGCCTCCCCTCAACATGCCAATTAGAAGGCTTGAATTCGGTCTGCCCGATTAGTGAGGCTATGAGCACCTGGGCGGCTAGCCGCAGGTCACCGAAGACAGGCACGAATTAACATCAGTAAAGCTTCCCCACAATGCAACAATTAGGAGGCTTGGATTCGGTCTGCCTGATTTAAGGCGGTAAGCGCCAGCAAAGCTCGACCAGAGTATGAGCTGCAGGTCACCGAAGATAGGCACGAACCAACACTAGTAAGTCTCCCCCACAATACGGCAATGAGAAGGCTTGGATTCGGTTTGCCTGATAGGTTTTGTAAACACCTGCAGGCAGTTCTAGCAGAGTAGAGCATGCGCTGCAGGGCACCGAACACAGGCACGCATCAGCGCCTAAAAACCTCCTCACAATGGCGAAGAGAGGACCCGGATTCGGTTTTCCTGATTGATAGGACTTGTAAGAGCCTGTGGCAACGCTAGCAAGTAGAGCAGAGTGTGTGCCGCGGGACACCGAAGACAGGCGCGTATCAACGCTAAAAAATAAAAAGAAAGGGGGATCTGTGGGGAGCAATCCGGACTAGACTGTTACTCGAATTAAGACTTATTCTATGCATCTGCTCTCCCACAATATGGCGCTGGGAGAGAAGTAAACAGCTTCCGCACAGCTGCCTCCAGTTCAACCAATTAACTGTAGGACTTGCTCCTGATTGGAGAGCAGCGTACTCAGCCGAGTTGGGATTGGCGGAAGAGGACTATAAAGGAGGAGAGAGACGGCACGCACCAGGAACATCTATGGGGAACATCTAAGGGAACCCGTGCAGCCCCCGAGAGAACCGGCCGGCGGTGTGCCGCTCCCCTGCGGAAGTGGGGAATGCGGCCAGGGGGAACTGCCCTTCCACGGAGGTGGAAGGGATAGTAGCCAACCCGGGAAGAACCAGCAGCAAACCCGGGGAGGGCCGAGCAGACGAAGGAACAGCGCAGGGTCCTGTGTCGTTCCTCCACGAAGAGGGGGAGCGACATTGAAGAAAGTTGGGCAAGGAGAAAGGAGACCTGTTTTTCTTCCTAGTTATGCCATTGATCCATTATTTGACCTTAGTTCCTATGCATGATACCGTATTTTTCAATTTCTAAAGTGTAGATAACTGACTAGTTCTTACTCCAGCCAACTTAATAAGCATTGGGTTATGTCAATCAAGAGGCCAAATTCAAAAAACACATTCTAGAGAATAATTATTCCAGAGAATGAGTCTCATTACAGAAAAAGAACCAGATTAAGGATTAAGAGCCAGAAAGTTGACCAAACAAAATGTCTTTGGAAGAATGAAAAAACAGAATCCTAGT